AAGAATAAAGTCTGACAGCATCCCTGGTAGATTCTACCAACCATGTAAAGATGAATTAATATCAATTCTCAAACTTTCCCAGAAGATTGAATATTTTCTAACTCATTCTTTGAAGTCAGCATAACCCTGATAGAAAGACAGAGACACTCCAAGCAAACTATAGACCAATATCCCTTAAAAACATAGATGCAGAAATCCCCAGCTAAATACTAGCAAACAGAGTTCAGTAGCATTTTGAAAGGATATGCACCATAACCAAGGGAGATTTATTCCTGGAATGCCAGAATGGTTCAGCATATAAAACTTAATCAGTGTAATATGCCACACCTAACAAAAGGAAGGGGAGAAAAAACCCCACATGATCATTTCAATTGATGTGAAAAATTTTTTGAGAGTATTTAACACCCTTTCATGATTAAAATAATGAAATAGGAATGGAAGGAAGCTTCATCAACATCATAAAAGCCATATATGAAAAACCCACAACAAACATCATACTCAGTGGTAAAAGACCAAAAGCTTTTTCTGTAAGTTCAGGGACAAGGCAAGGATTCCCACTTTCACTTTTGTTCAACATAGTACTGGAAGTTTGTAGTCAGAGCAAGAAAAAGAAGTAATAGTTATCCACATTAGAGAGGTAGAAGTAAAATTATCTTTGTTTGCAGATGATATGATCTTATGTGTAGGAAACCCTAAAGACTTGAAAAATGGCTGTTTGAACTTAATAAATTAATTCAGCAAAGTATCAGGGTACAGTGTCAACACTCAAAAATTCATTTCTATACACAATGAACAATTTGAAAAGGAAATTATAAAAACAATTCCATTTACAATAACTTGAAGAATAAAAGATTTGGGAATTAACCAAGGAGGTGAAGGACTTACACAGGGATAACTAAAAATTCATTGCTGAAACAAGACATAAAGAAATAGAAAGATCCTATGTTCACTGACTGGAAAACTTAATATTTTAAAAATGTCAGTAGTACCCAAAGTGATCTGTAGATTCCATACAATCCCTATGAAAATCCCGGTGACTTTTTTTTGTTTGTTTTTTTTTGGTAGAAATAGAAAAACTAAACCTAAAATTCATATGCAGTCTTAAAGGACCAGAGTAGCCAAAACAGTCTTGAAAAAGAATAAAACTGGAGGACTCACACTTCAGATTTCAAAACTTGCTACACAGCTACAGTAATCAAAACTGTGGTATTAGCATAAAAGACATATAGACCAGACTTGTTAATTAACAAGTCAGGAAACGACAGATGTTGGTGAGGATGTGGAGAAAGGGGAACCTTCCTACACTGTTGGTGAGAATGCAAGCTGGTGCAGCCACTCTGGAAAACAGTATGGAGGTTCCTCAAACAGTTGAAAATAGAGCTACCATACGATCCAGCAATTGCACTACTGGGTATTTACCACAAAGGTACAAATGTAGGGATCCGAAGGGGTACGTGCACCCCAATATTTATAGCAGCAATGTCCACAATAGCCAAACTGTGGAAAGAGCCAAGATGTCCATGGACAGATGAATGGATAAAGAAGAAGTGGTATATATACACAATGGAATATTATGCAGCCATCAAAAGGAATGAGATCTTGCCATTTGCAACGACGTGGATGGAACTGGAGGGTGTTATGCTGAGTGAAATAAGTCAGTCAGAGAAAGACATGTATCATATGACCTCACTGAAATGAGGAATTCTTAATCTCAGGCAACAAACTGAGGGTTGCTGGAGTGGTGGGGGTGGGAGGGATGGGGTGGCTAGGTGATAGACATTGGGTAGGGTATGTGCTATGGTGAGCGCTGTGAATTGGGCAAGACTGTTGAATCACAGATCTGTACTTCTGAAATAATGCAACATATGTTAAGAAAAAAGAAAAGAAGATAGCAGGAGGGGAAGAATGAAGGGGGGTAAATCAGAGGGGGAGACGAACCATGAGAGATGATGGACTCTGAAAAACAAACTGAGGGTTCTAGAGGGGAGGAGGGTAGGGGGATGGGTTAGCCTGGTGATGGGTATTAAAGAGGGCACATTCTGCATGGAGCACTGGGTGTTATGCACAAACAATGAATCATGGAACACTACATCAAAAACTAATGATGTAATATATGGTGATAAACATAACAAAAAATAAAGAAAAACTATAATAATACCTCATACTCATTAGGATGGCTACTATCAAAATAACAAATTAACAAATGGTGAAAACGTGAAGAAATTTGAACTCTTGTGCATTGTTGGTAGGAATGTAAATGGTAAGCCATTGTGAAAATGGTATGGTAGTTTCACACACACAAAAAATAAAATTCAGTTACCATATGACCCAGCAGCTCCCTTTCTGGATATATTCCTCAAAGAATTGAAAGCAGGGCCTCAAAAAGGTATTTGTATACCCATGTTCATAGCAGCGTTATTCACAGTAGCTAAAATGTGAAAGCAACCCAAGTGTCCATTGACCAATGAATGGATAAGCAAAATGTGTAGACATGAGAGATTTTGTTCAGTCTTAAAAAGGAAGGAAATTCTGCAATATGCTATAATACTGGATGAACCTTGAGGATGTTATGCTAAGTGAAGTAAACCGGTCACAAGAAGACAAATACTGTATGATTTCACTTGTATAAGGTACTTAGAGTAGTTAGAATCATAAAGACAGAATTTGTAATGGTGGTCACCCAGGACAGGGGTGAGAGGAGAATGGGGAATTAATTGTTTAATAGATATAGAGTTTCGGTTTTACGAAATGAGCTATGGGGATGCTTGGTGGTAGTGGCTGCACAACAATGGGAATGTATTTAATACCAGTGAACTGTACACTTAAAAATGGTTAAGATGGCAAATTTTATGTTATGCATTTTACCACAATAAAAATAATTGTATTGTTTTAAACATTGAGTAAAATTTACTTGGATTTCAAATGATTTTTTCTTCTCATTTTCCCAGCATTTGAAAATATTTTAATGGTGTGTGTTAAAGAGTGGCATGGATGTTGACTAGATCAGCATGATACTGTGTATTTGCCTTTTTGTGTGTCACAATCTCATGGTTTTAAGGCTGAAAGCACATTAAGGCTCTTTGATAGCACATTTTAGTCAGTACGGTGTAAGTTTTTTCTTAATTGTCTTACTCAAAAGTAAACTAGTTGGGAAATATAATCACTTTATCCAGTCACTTCTCATAGAGAAAATTAGAAATGTCAGTAAATTGAACATGATTATAATATTTACTTAATCACCCTATATAGGATTTAGAAGTAGTTATATTATAAAAATAATATAGTTTATATAATTCAGAAATAAAAGTTCTCCTTCTCCATCATCAAACACCCCACTTATACTCTTAGGGTAGCTACTACTATTAATGGTTTCTTAAATTGCCTTCCAGAAATATTCTTTGTGTAGATAAGTATATGTATATGACTGTCTGATGGAATTATACACATGTTTCCAGACGTATGTATCCTATTTGTTAAAAAAAGATATACTTTTATAAGGTATTTTGAGTGACTTAAATATGTTCTTTAGCACACACACTGAGGAAAAGTAGATAAATTGATATGAACATTAAAAATGTAACAAAAATATAATTTCATTTCTTTGAAATCTTATAATTATTCTAGTGGTATAGATTAAGAATAAAATTTCTGTAGTACAGTTTAATAATAGATGAGATTTTAAATCCATATTTTTATGAAAACAAAATATTAATTTGTGTGGAAGATTTTTGCCTTCAATACATGTTCTTATTACCTGTCATACTGAAAATAGTGGGTTATCTTTGGGAGTGGGATTATCTGTGAGTGCTGTATAGGGAGAGTTTTGGGCTTCTCTAATACCATATTGTATGAGTTTTTTTTAAAGCAATGAGCACATTCTACTTTTATAAAAATGCAAGAAAATATTTTTTTCATTGCAATAACATTTTTTGTTTCTTGTTGCTTTTTTTTTGTTATTTTATTCTAGTTAACATACAGAGTTCTACTGGTTTCAGATGTACAATTTAGTGATTCAGCAGTTCCATACAACACCCAGTGCTCATCATGATAAGTGCACTCCTTACCCCATCACCTATTTCACCCTTCCCCCCACCCTCCTTACCTCTGGTAATCATTAGTTTGTTCTCTGTAGTTAAGAGTCTGTTTCTTGGTTTGTCTTTCTCTTATTTTTTTCCCTTTCCTTGTTTGTTTTGTTTCTTAAATTGCATGTGAGTGAAATCCTATGGTGTCTTTCTCTGACTTATTTCACTTAGCATTATGCTGTCTAGCTCCATCCATGTCACTGCAAATGGCAAGATTTCGTTCTTTTTAATGGCTCAGTAATACTCCATTGTGTGTGTGTATTAAACCACATCTTCTTTATCCATTCATTGATCAGTGGACACTTGGGCTGCTTCCATATCTTGGCTATTATAAATAATGCTGCTATAAACATAGGGGTGCATATATCCCTTTGAATTAGTGTTCTTGTATTTTTTGAGTAAATACCCAGTAGTGCAATTGAAGGATTGTAGGGTAGTTCTATTTTTAACTATTTGAGGAACCTCCATACAGTTTTCCACAGTGGCTACACCACTTTGCATTCCCAATGGTGCACGAGGGTTCCTTTTTCTCCACATTCTCGTCAGTACATGATGTTTCTTATGTTTTTGATTTTAGCCATTCTGACAGGTGTGAGGTGGTATCTCATTGTAGGTTTGATTTGCATTTCCCTAATGCTGTGATGATGAGCATCTTTTCGTGTGTCTGTTGGCCGTCTGTATGTATTCTTTGAAGAAATAAATCTCTGTTCATGTCTTCTGCCCATTTTTAATTGGATTATTTGTTTTTTTGGATGTTGAATTTTAGAAGTTCTTTTTACATTTTGGATACTAGCCTTTTATCAGATATGTCATTTGCAAATAATGATAGAAAATAGTTTTAAAACGTAATGATTTAAATTTTAAAAAATGTTCTCATAACTAAGCTCATTTTTTTTTTTTTTTTAATTCTGGTTTTAGGCTTGTGTGGATGTCAGAGCCAGTTCAGTGTTTTGGCAGCAGATGGAATTTGCAGATAGCCTACAAGGCCATCCCAAGTTGCCAGAATGGTTATCCACACACCCTTCTCATGGAAATCGAGCTGAGCACTTGGATAGACTCATACCTCAGGTTAGCTAACGCTGTATAAGGCAAGACATTGTTTTTACTGTATCATTTATTTTTAATGTAGTTGCTTCTTGTGCTCTTTAGAAAAAGAGAGTTCTAGTCTAGCCTATCAAATGTTTTGATCACTATAATTATGGATTCTTGGTTTTTAAAGGATTTGACTGAAAAGTAAAAATCCTGCTTGTCCACAAGTCTTGGGGAATAAATTGCTGTTTCGTTGACTTTTCTTGATGGTGAAAGTTTCACCTTTTTAGAATCATACCTTTTAATTTTAACTGATTTGGCAAAAGTCTAAAACTCAAAGTATGTATTTTTCATACATGTTGATCATAATTTAGTCTTTTCTTGGTGATTTAACCTTTGTTAAAAAGCTTGTTAAAAATATCAGTTGGCGGAGCAAGATGGTGGAGGGGTAGGAGACCTGGATTTCGTCTGGTCTCAGGAATTCAGCTGAATAGGGATCAAACCATTCTGAACACCTACGAACTCAACAGGAGATCGAAGATAAGAATAGTAACAACACTCTGAACAGAAAAGCGACCACTTTCTGGAAGGTAGGACGTGTGGAGAAGTGAATCCGAGGCGATATTCGGGAGGAGGGGACCTCCATCGGCCGCTTCTGGCAAGTGATAGAGCCGCGGAGCACAAAATTGGAACTTTTAGAAGTCGGCTCCACTGAGGGAAGTCGCTCCAGTGGCTAAGCTGGGGGTGGAACCCTCGCGGGACAGTGTGGTCTCAGGACCCTCTGGGTCACAGAAAGACCGGGGGTGTCTGAGTGCGGCAGAGCTCCCAGGTATCGGAGCGGGGAAGCCGGCTGCAGAGACGGAGCCGAGGCGCGGGCTCTCAGCTCGGGGTTGCCATAAACTGTGATCCGCGGTCCAGTCAGGCCACTGCTCCTCCAGCAGGGACCCAACAAGCAGCAGGGCTGGGGAGACTCCCTTTCCTCCCCCGGGAGGAGCAGCGCGGGAGTGCACCCCGGGGATCTGCTGGGTTTGGAGACTCCACACGGGGTCGGGTGCCAGACATAGAAACGCTCCATCACAGACCGGGTGAGCACGAAGTGCGGCTGGAGAACGGGGAGACAGGAGTGACTGCTTTTCTCTGGGGGCGCACTGAGGAGCGGGGCCCCGAGTTCTCAGCTCCTCCGGGCAGAGATTGGGAGGCCACCATTTTCACCCTGGTCCTCCAAAGCTGTGAGAGCTTGCAGGGAACAAAAGCTCCTGAGAGCAAACCGGAGCAGCTTGCTTAGCCCGGACTCACAAGGGCGGGGCAATTGCGCCTCCGGCAAAGACATTTGGAAACCACAGCAACAGGCCCCTCCCCCAGAAGATCAGCAGGAACAGCTAGCAAGCCAAGACCAAGTTTACCGATCAAGGAGAACTCCAGCGCTAGGGGAATACTGCACATAGAATTCATGGCTTTTTTACCATAATTCATTAGTTTTTCAAAGTTAATTTTTTAACTGTTTTTTTTTTGAATTTTTCTTTTTCCCTTTTTAAAAAAAACATTTTTTATTTTTCATTTTTAGAGTCATATTTTTATCCCTTCATAGTAGTTACCCTTATTTTGGCATGTACATATAAGTTGTTCTGTCTTTAAAATTTTGAGATACAATTTCTTCTAACAGATCAAAATATACCCTAAATCACTAGTGTATGGCTTTGTTCTATTCTCCTGCCTGATCACATTCTCTCCCTTTTTTTTTCTTTTTTTTCTTTTTTCTTTTTCTTGTTAAATCTTCTTTCTTTTTAAAAACAACTTCTATCTTATCAATTCCTTTTATAAAATCTTTTATAATTTTCATCTTTACAGTCATCTTCAATCCCTTCATTGTATCAACCCTTATTTTGTACACATATAAGTCTTTCTTCCCTTAAAATTTTAGCAGGCACTTTCTTCTAACAGACCAAAATATGCCCAAAAGCTAGTGTGTGGCACTGATCTATGCACTAGCCTGATCATATTTGATCATATTCTGTTTTTTTTTGTTTTGTTCTGTTTTTGTTTGTTTTTATCTTTTTCTTTTTCCTTTTTTTTTTCTCTTCTTTCTTTCCCTTTCTTGTCCCCTGGTTTCAGGTCTTTTCTGATTTGTATAGAGTATATTTGCTAGAGACGTTGTTAACCTGTTAGCATTCTGTTCTCTCATTCATCTATTCTCCTCTGGATACAATGACAAGGCGAAAATAATCACCTCAGCAAAAAGAACAAGAGGTAGTACTGTCTGCCAGGGACCTACTCAATACTCACATTAGTACGATGTCAGACCTAGAGTTCAAAATCATGACTTTAAAGATACTAGCTGGGCTTGAAAAAAGTGTGGAAGTTATTAGAGAAACCCTTTCTAGAGAAATAAAAGAACTAAAATCTAACCAAGTCGAAATCAAAAAGGCTATTAAAGAGGTGCAATCAAAAATGGGGGCACTAACTGCTAGGATTAATAAGGCAGAAGAAAGAATCAGCGATATAGAAGACCAAATGATGGAAAATAAAGAGGTTGAGAAGAGAGAGAAACAACTACAGGATCACGAGGGCAGAATTCGAGAGATAAGTGTGCGATAAGACGAAACAACATTAGAATAATTGGGATCCCAGAAGGAGAAGAAAGAGAGAGAGGGGCAGAAGGTATATTGGAGCAAATAATAGCAGAGAACTTCCCTAATTTGGGGAAGGAAACAGGCATCCAAATCCAGGAGGCACAGAGAACCCCTCTCAAAATCAATAAAAATAGGTCAACACCCCGACATCTAATAGTAAAACTTAACGAGTCTCAGAGACAAAGAGAAAATCCTGAAAGCAGCTCGGGAGAAGAGATATGTAACCTACAATGGTAGAAACATTAGATTGGCAACAGACCTATCCACAGAGACCTGGCAGGCCAGAAAGGACTGGCATGATATCTTCAGAACACTAAAGGAGAAAAATATGCAGCCAAGAATACTTTATCTAGCTAGGCTATCATTGAAAATAGAAGGAGAGATAAAAAGCTTCCAGGACAAACAAAAACTAAAGGAATTTGCAAACACAAAACCAGCCCTACAAGATATATTGAAAGGGGTCCTCTAAGCAAAAAGGGAGCCTAAAAGCACCATAGATCAGAAAGGAACACAGATAATATACAGTAACAGTCACCTTACAGGCAATACAATGGCACTAAATTCATACCTTTCAGTAGTTATCCTGAATATAAATGGGCTCAATGCCCCAATCAGAAGACACAGGCTATCAGATTGGATTAAAAAACAAGACCCATCCATATGCTGTCTGCAAGAGACTCATTTTAGACCCAAAGACACCCCCAGATTGAAAGTGAAGGGGTGGAAAACCATTTACCATGCTAATGGACACCAAAAGAAAGCTGGGGTGGCAATCCTTATCTCAGACAAATTAGATTTTAAAACAAAGACTGTAATAAGAGATGAAGGAGGACACTATATCCTACTTAAAGGGTCTATCCAACAAGAAGATCTAACAATTGTAAATATCTATGCCCCTAACGTGGGAGCAGCCAATTATATAAGGCAATTAATAACAAAAGCGAAGAAACACATTGACAGCAATACAATAGTGGGGGACTTTAACACCCCCCTAATTGAAATGGACAGATCATCTAAGCAATAGATCAACAAGGAAATAAAGACTTTAAATGACACACTGGACCAAATGGACTTCACAGACATATTCAGAACATTCCATCCCAAAGCAATGGAATACACATTCTTCTCTAGTGCCCATGGAACATTCTCCAGAATTGATCACATCCTAGGTCACAAATCAGGTCTCAACCGGTACCAAAAGATTGGGATTATTCCCTGCATATTTTCAGACCACAATGCTTTGAAACCAGAACTCAATCACAAGAGGAAAGTTGGAAAGAACTCAAATACATGGAGGCTAAAGAGCATCCTACTAAAGAATGAATGGGTCAACCAGGAAATTAGAGAAGTATTAAAAAAACTCATGGAAACCAATGAAAATGAAAACACAAGTGTTCCAAATCTTTGGGATACAGCAAAGGCAGTCCTGAGAGGAAAGTATATAGCAATGCAAGCCTTTCTCAGGAAACAAGAAAGGTCTCAAATACACAACCTAAGCCTACACCTAAAGGAGCTGGAGAAAGAACAGGAAATAAAGCCTAAACCCAGCAGGAGAAGAGAAATCATAAAGATCAGAGCAGAAATCAATGAACTAGAAACCAAAAGAACAGTAGAACAGATCAACGAAACTAGGAGCTGGTTCTTTGAAAGAATTAACAAGATTGTTAAATCCTTGGCCAGACTTATCAAAAAGAAAAGAGAAAGGACCCAAATCAACAAAATCATGAATGAAGGAGGAGAGATTACAACCAACACCAAAGAAATACAAACAATTCAAAGAACATATTATGAGCAACTCTATGCCAGCAAATTAGATAACCTGGAAGAAATGGGTGCATTCCTAGAGATGTATCAACTACCAAAATTGAACCAGGAAGAAATAGAAAACCTGAACAGACCTATAACCACTAAGGAAATTGAAGCAGTCATCAAAAATCTCCCAACAAACAAAAAGCCCAGGGCCAGATGGCTTCCCAGGGGAATTCTATCAGACATTTAAAGAAGAACTAATACCTATTCTCCTGAAACTGTTCCAAAAAATAGAAATGGAAGGAAAACTTCCAAACTCATTTTATGAGTCCAGCATTACCTTGATCCCAAAACCAGACAAAGACCCCATCAAAAAGGAGAATTACAGACCAATATCCTTGATGAACATGGATGCAAAAATTCTCACCAAAATACTAGCCAATAGGATCCAACAGTACATTAAAAGGATTATTCACCACCACCAAATGGGATTTATCCCTGGGCTGCAAGGATGGTTCAACATCCGCAAATCAATCAACATGATACAATACATTAACAAAAGAAAGAGCAAGAATCATATGATCCTCTCAATAGTTGCAGAAAAAGCATTTGACAAAGTACAGCATCCCTTCTTGATCAAAACTCTTCAGAGTATAGGGA